GCTCCCGGTGCTCCCAATACCGCTCTTCCCCCCGTTCCCGCTGGTCCCGGTGCCGCTCCCCGCCCCGTTCCCGGTGGTCCCGGTACCGCTCCCCACCCGGTCCCGGTGCTCCCGGCGCTCCCGGTCCCGCTCCCCGCCGTCCTTCCCGAGCGCTCCCCGATCATGTGACGGGCCCGGGGGAGTCAACAGGACCCCGGGCCCGCCCCGGCACCGCCCCGGGCCCGCCCCGCCCCGGCAGCACAGACACGGGGGTGCGAGAGGCGCTTTAATGGGGGGGACACACGGGGGATCCCACCGAGGGGACCCGGCACTCAGAGCTCCCACCCCGTCCCGGCTGCCCTCGGTCAGGGGGTCTCGGCCACCCCAGCTCTGGGGAACCCCGGAGTCCCTGTCCCCATGTATCCTGTACCCTGGTGTCCCTGACACCCCTGATCCCAAACCCGGGGTCTCAGCCCCCCGACCCCACACCCCGGGATCCCTGACACCTCTGACCCCAAACCCGGGGTCCCTGCCATCCCCTTGCCCTTGGTCCCTGTCACCCTGTGACTGCACCTCAAGGTCCTTGAGACCCCCTGCTCTGCACCCCAGACAGCACTGACCCCACACCTTGGGGTCCCAGCCTCTCCTGAGCCCACACCCCAGGGACCCAGATCCCTCTGACCTCCCACGCCGGGGTCCCTGCCATCCCACTGTCCTTGGTCCCAGCCCCCCCATACCCTCGGATCCCAACCATCCCGAACCCTTAACCCCGGGGTCCCAGCCCCCCATACCCACCCGCGGGGGTCTCGGCCGCCGCAGGCTCACAGCCCGGGCACGGTGGCCAGTGCCCCCAGCACGGCCTCCAGGTGCTGGGGGTGCAGATAAGCCACGAGGCCCCCCCGGTTCGCCCAGCGCTCGGCCCCCCCCGCCCCCTCTGCCGGGCGGTTATAGACCAGCTCGGGGGGGTCCCCGGCGCGCCCCTCCCGCCGCGCCCGCAGGGCCCCCTCCAGGGCCACCACCCCCCCGCCCAGGGCGCGCAGGATGGCGTGGGGGGCACAGGCGTCCCAGGCGAAGGTGGTGCCCTCGGACAGCACGTAGGCGTCCGCCAGCCCCAGGATCACGCACAGCATCTTGTACCCCGCGCCCGCCGCGAAGTGCAGGCGCCCCCCGCACAGGGGGCCCAGAGCCCCCCGCACGGCCGCCCCCTCCGCCCGGCTCAGCACCACGCGGGGCACGGGGTGGGGGTCGGGGGGGCTCAGCGAGCACAGTCGGGTGTCCCCGTGGGCCACGCCCCAGTGGTACCTGCCCTGCCACCTGCGGGGACACGGGCACGGTGAGCGCGGATCCCCCCGCCCCCGGGGGTCGCCCCGGTGCCCCCGCGGTGCCCCCGCGGTGCCGGTACCTGCGGGTCTGGGGGTCCCGTCGGAAGAAGGGCTCGTTGATGACGCCCAGGACGGGGCGGCCTGAGAGGCGGTCGAAGGCCCCGACGAGCACCAGGGCGGAGCAGAGCCCGGCGGGGGCGATGCCATCCACGGGGGGCACGTCCTCGCGGCCCCCGATGTACTCGTTGGTGGAGTCTGGGGGGCGCAGCCGGGGCTCAGCGGCGGCACACGGGGGTCCCCGCCCCCCGCCCCGCCCCTGCAGCCCCCCACTCACCGATGGGGTCTATCCACACGGCCAGGTCCCGGGGGGACACGCCGGGCTTGGCGCCCGCCAGCGTCACATCCCCCAGCACCACGTCCCGGTGCACGGCGTCCGCCAGCAGCTCGGCCGCCGCCTGCTCGGGGCCCAGCACCGACAGCAGCAGGGCCACCGTGTCCTCCCGTGTGGCACAGACACGCACGGCCACCGTGCCCCCTGCCACACCTTGAGTCAGCCCCGGCACGGGCACGGGCACCTTCAGCTCAGCCACGGCCCCACAGACCCAGGGTGGGGACCCCCAACTCAGCCACGAGCGTGTGGCCCCAGCGCGGAGACCCCCTCCTCAGCCACAGCCCCGCAGGCCCTGCTGAGGGGACCCTCGAGTGAGCCACGGTTTCACATTCCCAGTGTGGGGACTCCCCCTCAGCCGTGACCCTGCGTGGCCCAGCACTGGGAGCCCCGACTCAGTCACAGCCCCAGAACAGGGACCCCCGACTCGGTCACAGCCCCACGGCCCCAGTGTGGAGCCCCCTGCCCCGGTGACCCCCGACTCACCCTGCACGTCCCTGAACTCGTTGGACTCCTCCCCGTGGATGTGGCCCTGGAGCTCCGGGAACTGGGGGGGCACAGAGGGGGCTCAGCGTGGCGCGGGGGGCGTGGAGCACCCGGGGGACCCCCGGTCCGTACCCACCTCCTTGCCCAGGTCGTGCTTGATGACCTCCTGGATGAGAACGTCCGCCAGGGTCTTGAAGTCCTGCAGGAACCTCCTGTTCCTGTCGGGGCCCGTCTTCTCGGCCACCAGGAGCTGGAAGAGCGGCTCCTCCCGCCGGCACAGCCGCGCCAGCTCCGCCGCCTTCTCCGAGACCCCCACGAGCGCCTGCAGCAGCCCCCCCATGGCGGGACGGGCTGGGGGGGACACGGCGCTCAGGGGACCCCCTGGGAGGGGCAGAGCCCAGGGACGGGCCCTGCCCGGTCCTGAAATGATCCCGGGAGCAGAGGGAGGAAGGGGGGTATGTGGGGACAACGGGGGACAGAGTGACACGGGGACGTGGGAACCTGGGCACGTGGGGATGTGGGGACATGGGGACATGGAGACGTGGGGACAGGGTGACATGGGGACATAGGGATGTGGGGACACAGACATAGGGACGTCGGGATTGTGGGAGTGGGGACATGGGCCTGCAGGGACATGGGACATGGACATGGGGATGTGGAGGTGGGGACGTGAAGACATGAGGATGTGGGGACAGGGTGACATGGGGACGTGGGGACACACACGTGGTGATGGGAATGTGGTGACATGGAGAGGTGGGGACATGAGGACGTGGGCATGGGGACACGGGGCCATGAGGACACAGAGCCATGAGGACACGGGGCCACGGGGAGATGGACACGTAGCCGTGGGGCTGCACCTCCCCCACGGTGCCCCCCTGGTGCCCCCGCGGGGTGTGGGGTGTCTGCCCCGCGTATGCAGGAAGCGGTCGGGGCGGGGGGGGGGTCCCCGCTGCCCCCCGGAAGGCGCGGGGCGATGGGGCCCCCCCGTAACGACCGCGGCCCAAACTCCCCCCCCCTCCCCGGGGCCCGACCCCCGCGGTGCGCCCCCACCCCGAGCCGCCCCCGCGGGGACCCCCGGCCCCCTGGGGAGCCCCCGCCGCTGCCGTTACCGGGGCCGGGGCCGCTGACAGCTCCTGGGGCGGCCCGTGGGCGGGGACGGCGGGCGCGTCACGGAGCCGCTTTAACCCGCTCGCTCCCGCGGCCCGGCGGGGCAGCGCCCGGCGGAGGGGTCACACCGGCGGGGCGAGAGCCCCGAGGGCGGCGGGACCCCGGTGTAGGGGGGGACGGACCGCGGCGACTTCCCGGGGTGTCACCCCGGGGAGTGGCGCTGCCGTGGCGGCGGGGGAAGCCCCGCTGCGATCCCGCTGCCCCGGCGTCCCGTGTGGGGTCCCTGTGGTGTCCCTGTGGGTCCCTGTGGGGTCTCTATGGGGTCCCTGTGGGGTCTCTATGGGGTCCCTGTGGTGTCCCTTTGGGGTCCCTGTGTATCCCTGTGGGGTCTCTGTGTGTCCCTATGTGTCCCTGTGTGTTCCTTTGGGGTCCCTTTGGGGTCCCTTTGGGGTCTCTGTGTGTCCCTGGGGTCCCTGTGTGTCCCTTTGGGGTCCCTTTGGGGTCCCCGTGTCCCCCCGTGTCCCCCCGTGTCCCCCGTTTGGGGTCCCGGTGCCCCCCTGCAGTTCCCACGGTGGCCGCGCGGTGGCGCCGCCCCCCCGGCGCTGTGGGACCGACCCCGGGAGCTCAGTGGCGCCCCCTGGCGGGACGCGCTGGCACCGCCCCCCGGGACCGGGGGGGGTAACGGGGCCGCCCCCCCCAAACCCATCCCGGGACAGCCCCCCCGCCCGGGCCGTGTCACTTCCCCACCGCACCGGGCCAGGACCCCCTCACCACCCCCGCCGCGCCGGAGCGGTGCCGGTGTATCCCCGGTACCTCTTCCCCTCTCCATGGTTCTGATGGGGCCGGCACCGGAAGGGGGGGGGGTCCCAGGTCACCTGTGGGGTCCCCCCACTGATCTCAGTGCTTGTGGCAATCCTTGTTACTCCTGGAACCTACTGACGGCGGCATCTGCCCCGTGCCAGGCTTTGCTCAGAGTGGGCAACCTCACTGCTCTGCCCCCCCAAAGCTCGAGCGCCCCCGCCTTGGGGACAGCACCCCCGTGACCCCTCGAGCTTCCCACGCCCCCAGTTCGTGGTTGGTGTCCCCCCGAGCCGTGGTGTGATGGTCTTCGTTGCTCCCGGGACCCACTGGCGGTGGCTGCAGCTCTGCCCGGTGCCAGGCTTCTCCCGCGGGGCTCAACCTCCCCCTCCGCCCCCAGCACCCGCTGCAGCCCCCCGGGATCCCCGTGCCCCCCAACTCATGGCTGGGTTTCCCTCGGCCAAGGTCCCTGTTACTCCTGGAACCCGCTGACGGTCACTGCAGCACTTCCCGGTGCCAGGCTTCTCCCAAGGCGGGCACCCCACCCCCTCAGCACCCACTGCAGCCCACCGGGGACCCCCATGCCCCCCAAGTCAGAGCTGGGCTTCCCTGGGGCAGGCTCTGCCAGCCCTCGCTGCTCCTGGAACACACCGAGGGCTCTCCGGGGCTCTGCCGGGGCCGGCAGCGGAGCGCGGCGAGCGGGGGGCTCTGAGGGTGGGGGGAGTCCGGGGGGGCCCGGGACGCGCATCCCGGGGGGCGGTGCACTTGCCGGGACGCGCATCCCCCCGGCCGCACTTGCCGGGAGCGGGTCCCGCCGCGCCGCCCCCCGCCCCGAACGGGAGGCGGGCGGGGGGTCCGGGGCGCACCGGGCGGCGGCGGGGCCGTTCCCCGGGCTCGGGGGGCCGGCGGCGGCTGGTGCCAAGCCCCTGCCAGAACCTCTTTTGTGCGCCCGCAGCCAATCAAGGCCGCTGACGACACACTTCTCTTGGGGTATAAAACCCCGGGGCCGCCGACACCGCCGCTTTTTTTCATCCCCCCCCCCTTCGGCCCCCCCCGGGGTCCCCGCTTCCCCGCCCCCGTTACCGCCTTCCCCCCCTTGCGCGTTGCGGTGGAAGCGGGGCGGGGGGGCGGCCCGGTGGGGAAGGGTTTTATTTTTTTTCTTCTTTCTTTTCTTTTTCTTTTATGTATTTTTTTGTTTTCCCCCCCGGCATGGCCCCGGTGTGGTGGTTGTTGGGGTCGGTGGTGGCGGTGGTGGCCGGGGGGGGGTCGGTGGAGCAGCCCCCCGCCTCCGAGCCCGCCTGCCCCGTGTGCCTGTGGCGGCGGCAGAGCAAAGAGCTGCGGCTGGAGAGCATCAAGTCGCAGATCCTGAGCAAGCTGCGGCTGAAGGAAGCGCCCAACATCACCCGGGAGGTGGTGAAGCAGCTGCTGCCCAAGGCCCCCCCGCTCCAGCAGCTCCTGGACCTCCACGACTTCCAGGGGGACTCGCTGCAGCACGACGAGTACCTGGAGGAGGACGAGTACCACGCCACCACCGAGACCGTCATCAGCATGGCCCAGGAAAGTCAGTGCCGCCCTTTGTTCCGCTGCAAACTTCGCCGGAGGGCTCCCCCCCAACCCCCACCCCCGGCCCGGGCTCCCCCCTCCGTTCCCCTCCCGATCCCCCGGTCCCCTCCCGCCCGCCGGCACCGTCCCTCCAGGACGCCCCATCCTCCGCTTCCTCCCCCGGGGCTCCCCGACCCTCCTCGGGGCTTCCCGACCCCCCCCGGAGCTCTCCGACCCTCCTCGGGGTTCTCCGACACCCCTCGGGGCTTCCCGGTTCCCCCCGGTCCGTGCGGGTCCCGCAGGGACACAGAGACGTGGGGACGTGGGGACACAGGGACATGGGGATGGGACAACGCGGCCGCGGCAGCCCCGGTACGGGGCACTGGGAACCGGGAGACGGGACTGGGACAGGGGACTGGGAGCTGGCACTGGGTGCTGGCACTGGGGACTGGAAGGTGGTACTGTGTGCTGGGACCTGAGACTGGAAGCTGGGACTGGGGACTGGGAGCTGGTACTGAGTGCTGGGACCTGACACTGGGTGCTGGGACTGGGTGCTGGAACCTGGCGCTAGGTACTGGGACTGGGTGCTGGAACCTGGCGCTAGGTACTGGGACTGGGCAGTAGCACCAGGACCCGGCACTGGGAGCTGGGACTGGGGACTGGGACCAGGGATGGGGGACTGGGACTTGGCAGTAGGGACTGATACCAGCCACTGAGTGCTGGGACCTGGCACTGGGAGCTGAGACTGGGGACTGGGCATTGGAGACTGTGACCAGACACTGGTACCAGTCAGGAGTGGGACTGGGCACTGGGAGTAGCATCAGGACCCCGCACTGGATACTGGGACCTGGCACAGGGAGCAGACTGGGGGCACTGGGCAGGTCCCCAGGGCACAGGGCAGGGTGACAGGAAGGTGACAGCCGGGTGATGGCAAGGTGACAAACAGGGTGACAAACAAGGTGACATCAATGTGACAACAGGCTGTGCTGGGGACAGGCTGGTGCAGTGAGGGGTGTGAGGGGTGTGAGGGCTGTGAGGGCTGTGAGGGGTGTGAGGGGCTGTGAGGGCTGTGAGGGCTGTGAGGGCTGTGAGGGGTGTGAGGGGCTGTGAGGGCTGTGAGGGCTGTGAGGGGTGTGAGGGGCCTTTGTGACGGGGTGTGAAAGGGCTGTGGAGGGCCTGGTGAGGGTTGTGAGGAAAAACTGTGGGGTGGTAGGGGCTTGTGAGGGGTGTGAGGGCGTGGGAGGGTGTGAGGGGCTGTGAGGGGTGTGAGGGGCTGTGAGGGGGGTGGAGGGGTGTGGAGGGGGCTGTTGGAGGGGTGTGAAGGGCTGTGAGGGGGGTGTGAGAGGCCTGTGAGGGGTTGGTGGGAAGTGAGGGCTGTGAGGGGCTGTGAGGGGTGTGAGGGCTGTGAGGGGTGTGAGGGATATGAGGGGTGTGAGGGGTGTGAGGGATATGAGGGGCTCTGGGGGCTGTGAGGGGTGTGAGGGATATGAGGGGCTGTGAGGGGTGTGAGGGATATGAGGGGCTCTGAGGGGTGTGAGGGCTGTGAGGGGTGTGAGGGGTCCCCGGTGGGACAGCAGGGAGGGGACAGGTCACGGGGACTTTGCTGCGACGTGATGTGGCCCCGTCCCTCCCCAGATCCCCCGGGGTCTCTCCACCTGCTCCAGCCGTGGGACCCCCGGGACAGGGGGCGGGGGGCCGGGTGCGAAGGGCGAGCGGAAGGGAGGGAAGTGTGAGGCGCTGCCCCCCTCCTGCCGCCCCCCGACGAATTTCCTTCCCAGGCATTAATAGACTCGGGCGGCTTTGAAATTTTATTACCCATAAAATTGACGACACGCTGGGGTTTTCCTCTCTCAGCCGCGGCAACGCTCACGGCCCCCGGGCCCCCCTCCCGCCCCTTCACAGCTCGGGGGCCCCCAAAATAAATACCAGAGGGCAGCCCCTCCTCCCGCACGGCCCCGCGCCGGGGGTCCCACTTCTCCGGACCCCCGGCCGGATGCGCCGCGGGTCCGCTCCCCACCCCTGACTGCCACCGCTCCGTTATTATTATGATTTTTCCTCCCTCCTCGCCCCCCCGGGGCAATTGTGGGGGGTTTTATGGTTCCTGAACAGAAGGAGGGAAAGGGCTTTACAGGCAGCAGAGCCATAAAGCTCTCGGGTTCCCCCCGGCCGCCCCCCCACTAATCCCCGGCCACCACCCCCAAACCCCCCACCCCCCCGGGGGTTTTTAACTGCAGGAGGAACCCGGGAAGGTTAATTGGGTCCTAAACCCATTGAGGGGCTACCCGTGACCCCCGCGACCCGCGGGGGGGAGGGAGCTTAATGAGGGGCGATGGGGGCCGGGGGGACCGGGGCGAGGGGCCGGCGGGGGCCGGGGGGGGGGCCGGAGCCGCTCAAGGTCAGTGGGACGTGAGGACACGGGGACACAAGGACATGGGGACACGGCAGAGCCACCTCTGGCACACGGCACCTCGGGGCTCCGTGGATCTGGGGGGGCTCCGGTCGGGAGGCTGATGGGGCGGGGGTGGGAGCCCCGAATCCGGGCCCCGGTGGGAACAAAGAGCGTGGGGGGGCCGGGGGCGGCCCCCCTCCCGGCACATGCCCAGCTGTGACCGGTGTCCCGGTAACCTTTATCCCCTGTTGCCACAGCGACAGGACGAGCATCCTGGCACCGCAGCCAGCGTGTCAGAGCCCCCCCACCGGTTCCCCCGGGCCCGGTGTCCCCCCGAGATGTCAGTCAGAGCCCCGGTGTCCCCCGGGATGCCACAGCGACCCCCGGGCCAGCAGAGGGTCAGCGGTGCCACCGGTGCTGCCGCTGTCCCAGCGAGGGGCTTTGGGAGCAGCTCCCCAGGACCTGCCCCGGCTCCAGCACCGCTCCAGCATCTCCCACCTGGAGACCCCCCAAATCCCACCTCATGGCACAAACTGGCCACCGCAGACCCCTGTGCAGAGGTGTCACCTCGCCCACAGCCCCCTGTGGGGTGACATCCCACCGGTGACGGGTGGCAAAGCCTCCACCGAGGGGCTGGGGGGGCACAACCTGCTGAGAGGACGGGCACGGGGGAGTTCAGTCGGGGGTTTGAGCACCGCGCATCACAGGGGGAGTTTGGGTGGAGGGTGCTCGTGGCCCCCAGGCCCATCCCGGGGGGGTCGGGCCCCCCCAGCCAGGGGGCCAGGCGGCATTCCGGGGGCTATGGCCGGTGTCGTGACCCCCGTGAGCCCGGGAAGGCCTCGGCGCAGCAAATGGCCCCGCTGCAGCTGGGTGCTATTAAACCTGACCGGTGCAGGGGGAGGGGGCTGCGCGGGGCGGGGGGCGAATTCCCAGCTCAATTTGACACAGATGTTTGCCGGGCCGGGAGGGCCGGTGTGGGGCCGGGGTGCTGCCGCGGGGCTGGGGGAGGGACCCCCGGGGACCCCCGGGTCCGATGGGTGCTCGGGGTTGTCACCTCACCCAGGTGGATGTCCCTGTGGGGCCACTCACCCTCACCACCTCTGAGCACGTGGCCCTGGCACGTCCTGCTGGGGGGCCGGGAGAGACCCCCAAGGTGTGGTGCTGCCCCATAAACCAGCTCAGGGAGGGTGGCAGAGGGGGCTGGGAGGTAGAGCCCAGAGGTACCTGGGGCCAGGCACATTCCCAGCTCCAGCACTGGGATGTGCTGGGAAGTGGCTGCCCCGAGCAGGTGCTGTGGGGCCGGAGCCCCCCGCCCTGCCCAGCCCGGCCCCCTCCACGGGGCGCTCACTCCAGGGGGCTCAGGATTCCCCGGGGTCAGGGGGCAGCCAGGGATCACGGCGGGTGGAGGGGTGGTGACCCCCGGGGCAGCCTCTGACCCAACCTTCAACTCCTAACGACCGAGGAGGAGCTCGCGGGGTCCCGGGGTTTGGGAAGGATCCCGGGGCCACCCCTGACACCTCCTTCCTCCCGCAGCGGACCCGGTGGTGCAGATCGAGGGCAACCCCCATTGCTGCTTCTTCAACTTCAGCCCCAAGATCATGTTCACGAAGGTGGTGAAGGCGCAGCTCTGGGTGTACCTGCGGCCGGTCCAGCACACCCCCACCGTCTACCTGCAGATCCTGCGCCTGAAGCCCGTCACGGACGAGGGCAGTCGCCACATCCGCATCCGCTCCCTCAAGATCGACCTCAACTCCCGCCTGGGGCACTGGCAGAGCATCGACTTCAAGCACGTGCTGCAGAACTGGTTCAAGCAGCCGCAGAACAACTGGGGCATCGAGATCAACGCCTTCGACCCCAACGGCAACGACCTGGCCGTCACCTCGCTGGGGCCCGGCGCCGAGGGGCTGGTGAGTGTCCTCGGGGGGAGTGGAGGGTGTGGGGGGCAATCGGGAGGGGTGGGGATGAGGCTCTGTGGGGAGGGTGACAGTGGAGGAGGGTGGTCACGGATCTGGGGAGCAGTGGCAGCTCCACAGGGACAATGACAGCTCCCTGGGGCTTGTCACAGCTCTGTGGGGACAGTCACAGCTCCAGGGGGACAATGACACCCTCCTGGAGCTGGTGACAGCTTTGTGCAACTGGTAACACCTCCATGGGACTGGTGACACCTCCGTGGCGTTGGTGACATCTTGATAGGGCTTGGTGACAGTGCAGTAGGGCTGATGGCAGCTCCATGGGGCTGGTGACACCTGGACAGGGCTGGTGGCAGCTCCATGGGGCTGGTGACACTGCCACGGGGCCGCTGCCATCCCGTGGGGCTGGGCCGGGGTCCAGCGGGGCGATGGCTCAGCGTGTCCCTCTCCCCCCCAGCACCCCTTCATGGAGCTGCGGGTCCTGGAGAACAACAAGCGCTCGCGGCGGAACCTGGGGCTGGACTGCGACGAGCACTCGACCGAGTCCCGCTGCTGCCGCTACCCCCTGACCGTCGACTTCGAGGCCTTCGGCTGGGACTGGATCATCGCCCCCAAGAGATACAAAGCCAACTACTGCTCGGGGCAGTGCGAGTACATGTTCATGCAGAAGTACCCCCACACCCACCTGGTGCAGCAGGCCAACCCCCGGGGCTCGGCGGGGCCCTGCTGCACCCCCACCAAGATGTCCCCCATCAACATGCTCTACTTCAACGACAAGCAGCAGATCATCTACGGGAAGATCCCCGGCATGGTGGTTGACAGATGCGGGTGCTCCTAGAGCCCGGCTGGGGCTGCCCCTCCGCCCCACCACCCCCTCCACCGCCAGCTCCTCGTTTCTTCCGCTGTTTCTTGCTTTTCTTTAAGATTTCTTTTTTTTTCGGGGGAGAGGAAAAAAAAAATACAAAGACCAAGCGTTGAAATTCCTTTGGATGTTGGAAGAGAGAGAGAGAGAGAGAGAGAGAAGGAAATCCCACGGAGAAACGCTGCACCAAACCCGCGATTCGACATGCATTGTGCAATAAAGCAACCGAACGGAGAAGGGAAGGGGGGGCCGGGACCCCCACACGGTGACACGGTGACACGGCGACACGGCACCGGGCGGCTCCCTCACCCCAGCTCAGCAGCAACGGGGAGAGGAGGAGGCCGAGGAGACCCCGCACCCCCTCCTCGCGCTCCTGGAGCAGCAGCGGGAACGGGGCCAGCCCTGCCCGCCTCGCGGCCGAGGTGACACCCACGGGCAGGTGACCTGGAGGTCCCCGAGCAGCCACGGGCTCCCGCCGGAGCGAAGACGGCGGGGTCCGGCAGCGGGACCCCCGGGACGGGCGCGCCGGGGCTGTTCCGGCCCGGGAGGAAACCGTCTCCCTTCTTTAATTTATTTATTTATTAATCACCCTCCCGGCTGGCGCTCGCCCTGGTCCCTCCCTTCGCATCCTCAGCCCGGACTGCTCTGGGGGGGCCACCCGGGGACCACCGGCACCCCCAGGCTGGAGGGGACGGAGCTGCCGCCCAGGGGACGGATCCAGCCCTGGCACCGGCGCAGGGCACACAGCGCTCTCCCGGGGGGCTCGGGGGTCTCCGCCGGCGGGAGGGCGTCCAGCAGCCCGGGGTTATCCGGAGGCAGCCCCGGCGGGCTTTGGACGGAGGCTCCGGCCGGGGAGAAATTCCGCTTACGCGGCGCATTCGCGTCCCGCCGCCCTCGGCGCTCCGGAGGATTTTTCACGTGAGAAATGATGATTCTCCCGCGTTCCCAGAGCCCGGAGGCTCCAGCGCTCCCTCCGCGGTGCCGCCGGGGCCGTGCGGGGCCGCTGCCGGCGCCGGGCGGGCGCTGACCCCGCGGCTCGGGGAGGGGAAGCCCCCGCGGCCCCCGGGCCCAGCACTTATCCCGAGGGTGCCGGGGGGGACACGCGGCTCCATCCCGGGGCCAGGCGGGGAACGACCCCGTGGCCAGGCACGTCCGCACCCCGCGTAGCACTTAAGGGCCGGCGCCGGGCGGCCGGGGGCTCTCCCGGGATGTTCAGCACTTGTCCCCGGCTCCGCGGAGCCACAAGCGCTTACAAGGACGAGGCCACCCCGGGGACGAGGACACGGTGCCGACCCCCGGCCGTGCCGGACCCCGGACCCCCCGCCTGGCAGCACTTACGGCCCCTCGTGCCAGGCTCCCGATGCCACCGGGCTGGTGGCTCCGGCGGTGGCAGCAGGGGTGGGAGGTGAGGGGATAGGCATGGGTAGAGCCGGGGTTCCAAGGAGTGAGGTTCTGGAGGCAGAGGAGCATCCCCCAGCCCCGCTCAGCCCTGAATGGGGGGTACAGCTCAGCCCCAAAACACCGTGGCCAACAGCCCCTCGTGGCCGAGGTCCCCAAGCCAAGGGGTCAGCGGTGGCTCTTCCAATACATCGGATAAAACGATGCCAATGAAAACCCCGGGGCGGGGGCAACCCCTCCCCCTGCCCTTCAGTGCCTTTTGGGGGGGCCGTGGCCTCCGGCAGCCCTGGGGTCACTGTGGAGGAGGGGGACCCCCAGTGTCCCCACACGGTGCCCGTGTTATGCCGAAGGCAACGGTCCCAGGGAAGACAGAGCCAGGCACTTGGAAAGATCCAGAAGCCACTGGGAAGGGACTGGAAAGGGTTTGGAGCTGCCCTGGCCCTGGGGGAGCCCCAAACCCACTTGTCACCCCAAAAGGCCCCCCAGGGCCCCAAGGCGACTGTCACAGGCAGGTGGCACTGAAGGAGAAATGATGGGAAGGCCTGGGCACTGGGACCAGTTAGCATGGGGCACTGGGACCAGTTAGCATGGGGCACTGGGACCCATCAGCTCCAGGCAGTGTGACCAGTCAGCTCTGGGTACTGGGACCAGTTATCTCCAGGCATTGGAGCCAGTCAGCCCCAAGCACTGGGACCAGTCAGCCCCAAGCACTGGGACCAGTTACCTCCAGGCAGTGGGACCAGTCAGCCCTGGGCACTGGCCCCAGCAGCAGGCAGCACTGGTCCCAGTGCCCAGGGCTGACTGGTCCCATAGGTGACTCCCAGGTGGGGGTTGCGGGGCTGGTGGCCCCCTCAGTATATTATTATTATAATTATTATAATTATTATAATTATTTCCTGGTGTATCGGTCTGTGTGTAACGTCTTAGGTTCCTTTTCTGTTCGTCTGTTCGTTGTTTTGTTCCTCGTTCTGTCGCTCTGGGGGGTCTGGGGGGGTCCAAGACGGGCCCTGGGGGAGGGGGGGGCTCACAGCGGGTCCCAAAAGGCCACGGCTGGTCGGGGTGGGGCTCACGGTGGGACCAAACTCAGCACTTGAACAGCAAAAATATACAAGAAATAATAAAAAAAAAAAAAAAAAAAAAAAAAAAAAAAAAGAGAGAGAGAGAAATAATCCAAGAGTTCCAAGCTTTCAGCTCCATCTGCACCCCTGGGGGGCCCAGCACCGTGGGCGGGGGTCGCAGGAGCTGGTGGCACCGGGACCCCCGGGCAGCACCGGTGCCATCGATGTCCCCCGAGACATTGGGCTGGTGGTGGCTCGTCCGGCGTCAGCAGGAGGGAGCTGGTGGTGCCACCGCAGCCGAGGGGCGGCCGGAGGGGCCAGAGGGGCCGGAGCAGCCCCTCGGGGGCTGGGAACCGTTTGCACTATGGAAAGGTGGAGAAGGGACGAGGCCGGGACCGATCGCCCTCGTGGGCGTCCGTGGGCACCGGGATCGGCCCATCAGTGCCAGGGCCGGGGGGCTGCGGCACCCCGGGGGGACAGGAGGAGGAGAAGACCCCCCCCCAGAAGAAGATCCCCCTCCCAGGCCCAACGACACCCACACTCCTCGTCCCGTCTGAGCCCTGGATCCGTGGGGGCATCTGGCACGGGGACATCCAGCATGGGGACAGCCAGCACTGCCACCACGTCACACGCGGCCTTGTCACAAAGGTCCGCCTGCGATGCCACCCCCGGCTCCCCCGGCGGCAGAGACGGAGGGGGTTGGTGTCCCTGGAGCGGGATCGGGGGATTTGGGGCCCCTGAAGAGCCACAGGAGAGGAAAAGCCCCACAGGTGTCCCCGTGACTCCGGTGTTGGACAAGTGACATCTGTTGTAACTCGTGCCCCAAAGGCCTCCCCGGCCCCGGCCCCAGCCCTGGCTCCTTCGGTTTTTTAGACTTTTTGTAAAATAAAAAATTTTATAGAGTCAAAAAGATACTGGGAAAAAGGGAAAATTGATGATAAACGCATTTTGCTTGGGCTACTGATCGTGGCCCTCCCCGGGACCCAGCCCCCCACCCAGATCCAGCCCCCCACCCGGATCCAGCCCCCCACCCGGATCCAGCCCCTCACCAGCACCAGATCCCACGGTCAGCACCAGATCCCCGTGTCCCCGCAGCCCCTCTTGTGTTTCCACGGCCCCCCCGCCGCCCCCTCCCACCCTTCCCTCGGGATCTCCCGGCCTGATCCAGCTCCGAGGGCTTGGGAAATCTTTCCTGATGCTTCTCATTTTTCCCATGCTCCCGGCGCCGGCTGCACCCCAGGGACAAGGGATGAGAGGGGACAGAGCCCACCCGGTGCCCTGTGCCTGGGGCAGAGCCCCCGGACATTCCCAGGTTTATCTCCCACCTGGGAACCACCCACAGCCCCCTCCCCTCCCCTCCCGAGCCCCCCGGACACGCTGGTCCTTGTGCCTTCACACAACCAACACCTGGAGAACCCACCCAGGAACAACCACCCCAAAACTGGGAACAACCACCCCAAAACTGGGAACCATCCCTAAACCTGTTCAGCCCCCCAGAGATGGGCGTCCCCATCCCAGTGATGGGGGGAGGGTCTGAGACCACCACTGAGGGGGGGTCACCACCTTGAACCCCCCGAGAGCTGCAGGGAGGGCGGGTTGACCCTGAGGAGGGGATGGACAACACAGGACAAGGATAGAAGACATGGGACAGGGATGGAGGACAAGGAACAGGGATGGGGGACATGGGACAGGGATGGAGGACAAGGAACAGGGATGGGGGACATGGGACAGGGATGGAGACCCAGGACAGTGCAAGGGACACCCCGCACCAGGCCACCAGCTCCGGGCCATGGCAGGAGCTGTGTCCCCCCTCCCAGCCTCCATTTCCTCCCAGTGCAGCCCCCCGGTTGTAAAGCAGAGATTTACAAGTGGCCCCAAGTGCCGGAGGAGCCGCGGGATCAGGGGCAGCTTTATGGAGCCTCATTAGGGGCTGCAGGTATTCCGGGAATGTCCAGCAGCCAATTATGGCTGGGCCAGGACAGGGGACAGGGTGGGCAGGGGATTGTCACCACAGGAGGGGACAGGGTGGGCACTGGAGGGTCACTGCAGGAGGGGACAGTGTGGTCACTGCCCACGGGGCCGGGGAACCTTCTGGCCCAAGTGAGGGCCAGACACACGGCCGTGGCTCCAGCTCAGCCCCCGATGGGTCAGACGGGCCCCAGGCCCTGCTGGGGCGGTGACTCCCTGGCCATTGGCCGTGTCCCTGCTCTCCCGCTCCAACCGGGGTCCCTCAGGACACGTTGGAAGCTGCTGCTCCCCCTGGGAATGCCCCGGGCCCCTCCACACCCCATCCCTGCCCTACAGATCCCACCTGCTCCCCCCAGAGATCCCCCAGCCCCCCCGGGGGCTCCGAGGGCAGAACTGCCCCAGCTCTGCCCCCTCCACAACTGGGGGTAAAACCCTGGGGGGTCTCCAGGAGCCTTGGGGAGGCACGGAACCAAGAGTGACCCCCCACCCTGTACCCCAGCACGGCCCTGGGGACAACACCAGCTCCCATGGGATCAGAATCCCCCTCGGGGGCCACGGCCAGGGGGTCCTGCGGGGGGACCGGGCTGTGCCACCCACCCCGAGGGCCGGAGGAAGGAGGTCCGGGGGCGGGGGGGGTTTGTTTGTTTGCTTCGAGGGCGATGTCAAGAGTTTAACGAGCGCTCGCTTTTGTTCTGGTCACGTCTCCCCCGAGGCCGCCCGGGGGCTGCACCCCCACATCCCTGCTCCCCCCGGCCCCCGTGACCTAATTCGGAGACCAAGGGCAGGGCTGCAGGGGGACAAATTAGGAACGGGGACATCCGGGCGACCACCCACGGCGGCCCCACGGCCCCCCGGACCTGCCCCTCCGCCGCTGACAGGACCGGCCGCCCGCGACATTCACAGTAATTAAACCACCAGCGGGGGCTTGGCCCGGCTCCACCGGCCCTGCCGGGGCCGCGGGATTATCCGGGGGAGCTGGGCACGGGCCAGGCCCCCCCCGGCCCGAGGGCAGCGCTGGCACCAGCACGGGGCTCCCCAGGGACCCGGCGGGTCCGTCCCCAACCTGTGGCAGGGACGGGGTTTGGTGCCATCCCCGAGGTTCCCGAATGGTCCCAGGATCTGGGTGGGTCAGTCTCCAGCCTACAGCTGGGGTGGAGTTTGGTGCCATCCCAAAGGTCCCCAGACCATCCCAGGGTCCGGGTGGTTCAGTCCCCAACCTGCATCAAGGTCATCCCAAAGGTCCCCAGACCATCCTGGGCTCCAGTTGGCTCGGTCCCCTGGCAATGCCCAACCTACATCAGGGACGGGGGTTTGATGCCATCCCAAAGACCCCCAGACCCTCCCAAGCTCTGGGTGTCTCACAAGTAGGATTTGAGACGTCCTCATTCCCTGTCCTCCAGTGAGCACATCCCTCATGGAGCCCCCTCCTCCATGGCAGGGCACCAGAAGGACCCAAGGATCCAGGAAGAAGGATCCAAGGGGATGGATCAGCTCTGGCTCCTGGGACATCCCTGTCCCGTGGGACAGGAGCCACCAGCCAAGGAGGGGCAATCCTTGGTCACCTCAAGGAGATGAGACCAGTGGGAGACAAGACAAGGCCAGTGGAGTGGAGGTCAGTGGGAGACAAGGCCGGTGGGATTCGAGGCCGGATTTGAGGTCGGGGGACCCGCGGCCGGTGCAGGGGAAGGAGGGGCCGCTGGCACCGGAGCCCCTCACCCCTTTGTGCAACCCCCCCTCTGCTCCTCCGGAGCCCCCCGGGCTGTCCCCGGGGGCTCTGACAAGTGACTTCACGCCGCATTTGGGCCCCGCTCCCGCGCGGTCCCACGGCGCCCGCAGCCCCGGCCCTTCCTTTCTTTCCCTGCCTTTCCCACACGAATTTCCCCCGCCCATTGTGCGCCCGCGGCTTTTCTTCTTCCCCTATTCAGCCCAAATTAGTCACAAGGAGCCCCCGGCTCGGGGGGTGTTTGAAGCCCGGGGCCGCTCAGTGAAGATGCGGCCCCGCAGGGACGGGGAGCGGCCCCGGATCCGCAGGGACGGGGAGGAGCCCATCCCAAATTTGGTGCCGCTGCCGCAGAAAACTCATCCCTGAGGAGGGAGAGGGACGGACCCCAGGAGGAGAAATGTCAGCAGGACCTTCCGAGCAGAGAGACCAGGGCAGGGCAGGACAGGGACCCTCCTGTGCCCTGGCCCTTGTGCCAGAGTGGAGTTGGTGGGACCCGGAGTCCTGGAGAGGGGCAGTGCCACCACCAGTGTCCCCTCACCCACCAGTGACCCGAATCCAGAGGAGTCTGTGCTTCCCCTGGAGCTCCATGAGGACCTGGCCCCAAAAACCCGGTGAGGAGGGGAGGGGAACAGCCCTGCCCTGGGTGACATCTGTGTCCCCATTCCCTGCTCCGGAGAGGGAGGAGATCCACATCTGGAGGCCAGAGGGGCAGGAATTTGGCCATGGAACACCCTGGGTAATGCCAGGGACACCCAGCCCTGGGTAAGGACAGGAATTTCGGGGGTTTCCTGCACAGCTCCAGCCCCAGTCCCAACCCAGGAGCCCAGGAGTGCCTTGGAGAAGGAGTTTTATTATGAAAGCGAGGAGGGAACCTCTGCCCTGGCACCACAAACCCTTCCCTGCCCTGGCACCACAAACCCTTCGAGCCAACAACCAGCGGGGGAACCACGAGGCAAACAGAAAACACGGAGGAGAAATCCCAAACATGGACCAAAACACTGGGATAACGGGAGCACAGGGAATGGGGAGGAGCAACAGAGCTGGGGCTCAGCCAAGGACACAGGGTGTCACCTGGATCCTGTGGTGTCACCTGGATCCTGTGGTGTCACCTGGATCCTGTGGCTTTCAGCTCCCTTTGGGGAAGGAAAAGAACATCCCAGGGATTTCCTGGAGGCCTCGAAACGCTCAGGGAACAGAAGCATTTTTGAAGACTTTCCACGTTACAAAAAGTAGAACTATTGCTTGTTACTGGGGTGGGAGCCCTGGAATGCCCGGGGGGGGGACGTCCCTGCTGCTCCCAACGGCCTTCCCAGCGCTCCGGGATGAGGATCCCGCGGGGAACAACAATCCTGGGACGTCAAGTCTTCACCAGGGGAAGGGTTTCGGTCAATGCCCACCTGAAATCCAAGCAGACGTTCCTGCTTACAGACACATTCCTGCTCTGGGAGCTCTGGGAAGGCAGCAGGAGATGATTCTCTGGGAAGGAGAAGGGGAAGGGGGCCTGGGCACCCCCTGCCGATCCCATGGGATTGGGGATCCCGCGCTTCCCCCTGGGAGCTGCTCCCTGAATCCCCCAAATCCAAGGTGCCAAAGCTGAGGGAGCCAGAAAGGCTTCACCAGCAGCACCTTTGGTGTGTTTTGGCCGTGGATTTTTCCATAATTTCACCAAAACTGGGATGTTGTAGCAGTGGGAAGAGCCACATTCCTGCACATCCTCCAGGAACATCCCCATCCAACACAGGGATCCCAGGGCAACGCTCCTGCTTTGGGGAGAAATCACCTGATCTGGGGTTAATGGGCAATTCTGCCTCTGGCAGCTCCTGCAGGGAAGGTTGTGGGAATGCCCCGGGCCACCACAGTCTGGGAAAGATGTGAGGATGGATTTGGGAAAATCCTTCCCTGACATTGTCAGAGGCAGCAGAGACTGAGCAGGACTCGTGTCATTGTCCCCTCGGGGGAGTGGGGCCTGTCCTTGTCCCAGCTGTGCCATGGCCACAGGGATTCCTGGAGCACTGGGAAGGATCAGGAGCTGCTGCCGTGACCCCCCAAAACACTGGGAAACCCCTGGAATGTGGGGCTGGGGTGGCACCAAAACCAGCTGCTTCTTTTTGCTCCGTTTTTCCTCATTTCTAAACGTGGCCATTTGGAAAAACCCATCAAATGGAAGTAGCACAATCATCCAACTCCGGGGGAATTCCCTGTGTGCTGTCACTAAAACCTTTGGAAAAGTGTGGGAGTGGGAAGTGGGGAGGGAGGAGCAGGAGGAGGAGGAACCCACGGCAGGAGCTCCAGGACGGCCTCACACGATCCCGAACCGTTCTGCTCTTTTCCTCTTCTTTGCCTGGAAAGGGAATGACGAGGGAAATTAATAAATCCAATAAATGAGTTATTTAAAATCTCATAAAGAACCTGAGGGAGAACTGGTTCAAAATCCAGCCTGGGGAACACGGCTGGGAAGCGGAGACTCCAAATCCTGCTCCCACAGAGAGGGAGAGATGGAGTTTTTCCCAACACAAAAAGCCCCAAAACAGAGAGACCCAAAACACACAAAAAGCCCCAAAACAGAGAGATCCAAACCACAAAGAGCCCAAAAACTGAGAGACCCAAATGACAAAAAGAACCCCAAAACACAGAGAGCCCAAATGAAAAAAGAGCCTCAAAACAGAGGGACCCAACCCACAAAGAGCCCCAAACCCCAAACCCAGGAACAGGAACATACAGTGCCCGGAATACAGTGGGAAGGAGCCACAAAAGGGGCTGAGCCAGGAACAATGGTGACTTCAGGGGCCTGAAACGCTGGCAGGGAGTGGGGAGGTGGGAAATGGAAAAGGGCAAAGGGTGAACTCTGCTCTATTCATGGGGAAGGTGAGAGGGACACATTAAATACGCGGCCGATTCCCCTTTAAGCCGCTCCACGAGGGGCGTATAAATCTTAATTTTTAGCAGGATAAATAGCCCGGGGGGCAACAGAAGCCCCCAGCCCAGGATCTCCAGGGAAAGGTGCATTTGAGTGCACACAATGCCAGTAAAAAGCCCTTTTTGTTCCAGCACAGTCTCCGGGTGACCCGACGGAAAAGCCTCACGCTCCCCCTGCTCCGCCGGGAACGGAGCTCCTGCTTCACCCCCCGGGGAAGAAACCCCCCAAAAAACACTCAGCCCTGAAAAACAGCCCCTAAATCCCACCTGGAGGGGATCACAATTTCTCGCAGGAAGCAAACTGGAGCTGCCTGGTTTAGCTGTACCCAAATCCTGGTGTGCTCACCCAGCACCCCCCACCCTGGGGGGGTCCCTTTGTCCCCAGAGAGGGTCCCCAAATCCCATGTTTTGGTGGCATTTAGGTGTGCAGGGCACTGCCCACCTGCTTCAGGCAGGAGCCACCTTCAAATCATTCCAGCCTGGAGCACGGGGTTGGAATTACTTGAAGGAGAAGCGTCAAAGCACAATAAAAGGGACCAAAATTGCCCCGAGGAGGTGATAAATTTAAAAGATGGGCCAGAACCACTGAGGCCACAACAAAGCACTGGAAACAGGGTCAGCATCCCAATCCTCATTATATCCTGGAGCCTCCCGGGATTTATGGATGAAGAGCAACAATAGCAGAGGGTCCAGGAGCTGCCGGGGCCCAGGGAGTGACGAGGACGAGGATCAGCCCCAGGGAGGGGAGGGGGATCAGGGTGGGATGCTCCTTCTGGAAGCATCTGTGATGTCCTGCCAGGGGAGGAGGCTCAGAGAGCTCTGGAGCAGCCTGTTCCCAGCATGGATCCATGGAAACCCCATCCCGTGGGGTCCACAGGGGCTGCCTGTGCCCCCTTCCCCTTCTCCTTCCCAGGGCTCCCCCCAGCCCTGGGCCAAGCAGGGACGTCTGGGAGCAGAAATCTGTCCTTCTGCTTGGATTTGAGGTGGGCATTGACTGAAACCTCTCCCTTGGGAAACCCTTTTCCTTGGAAAAGCCCCCCCGGGCCGGGAGGTGGTGGGGGAGCACAGCCTGTGGTCGGGGCTCAGCCCCCGAGGTCCTGAGGGGTCCCTGGATCTCGGAGGTCCCAGGACTCTCCCTGCTCCCCTCCCTGCTCCACATCCCCTGGCAGGAGGGTTTTTTACCTCTGTGTCCTCTGTGGCTCCAGCCCCGGCCGAACTCGTGACGATCCCAAACCGCTCCTTCCTCTTCTTCAGCTTCTCGTCCTCCTCGCTCTGCACAGGGAAGGGATGGGGTTCACTGCCTGGGAATGCCCAGGAGTGTTCCTCCCATCCCTCCTCATCCCATTCCACCTGTCTGGGGCAGGAACACCTTCCACTAGCCCAGGCTGCTCCAACTTGACCGTGGACACTTCCAGGGATGGGGCAGCCACAGCTTCTCTGGGAAATGCATTCCAGGGCCCCATCGCCCTCACAGGGAGGAATTCCTTCCCAAAATCCCATCTAACCCTGCCCTCTGACAGTGGGAAGCCGTTCCCTGTGTCCTGTCCCTCCATCCCTTGTCCAAAGTCCCTCTCCAGTTCTCCTGGAGCCCCTTCAGGCATTGGAAGGGGCTCCCTGGAGCCTTCCCTTCTCCATGACCCCCCCCAGTTCCCAGCAGAGCTGCTCCACACCCTCCACTTCCTCCTTGGATTAAACCCTCTGGTGACATCAATGGAACAGTTCCCAGATCCCACCCCCACTCCCAGGGGGTTCCACTCCCTGAGCAGGGGGTCCCCAGATCCACTTTGGCACCACAACATTCCGTGCCTTCCTCCCCCCAGCTCCAGGATCCCGGTGATTTATTCCTCGGGAGGCCCCTTCCCTAAATCAATCCCGGGATAACGATCCCGCTCCCTGACCCCCCTCCACGCGCCCGGTGAACTCCCCTCCAGCCCAAGCTGTTCCCCTGCCAGGGGTTGATTCATGGGGTGCTGAAATCCAGCTGAGAAAAATGACCCCGAGCCCCCCCGGCCACATCCATCAATCCCGGCCCTGCCAAATCCAGGGAAAGCTGACCCCGCTGGCAGCCCCTCACATCCATTTTCCAAGCTCCCTGTTCCAATTTCTGTTCCCTTTGCTCTCCCACTTCTCTAAAAGAATGGGAAGAAGAGGGAAAAAAAGTTTCAAGAGGAATTCCAAGCCTTGGAGACAAAGCCTTCCCTGTGATCCGGGAACGGGATCCCCAGGACTGGGAATCCCAACAAGTCACTCAAGTCTGTCCACGGATTTGTGCTGCATTTGATCCCAAAGTGTTCATTTTGAGCCCTGATTTCAGGGGAGGATCCCAGGCCTGCTGGTGGCAACGACATTCCAGTGCCACGGGAATCTGCCTGGGGATCTGCCCCCTCTCCAAGGGCTCCCTCCTGGCCTGGATGTCCAACCCGAATCCCAGAGCTCCAGGCACCAAGGGGACCCTCCTGTCCCCAAGGCCGGTGGCCCCAGGCTGCTGCCTGTCCCCTCCCAGGGGATGAACGACCTGGTTCCACGATTAAATCTGGGATGAGCCACTTCTCCGGCTCCAGTCGCTCATTCCCCGAAGGGAGAAGGATCCACTGAAAAACTGCCTCGTTCCCCCCTCCTGGGAGAAGGGAGAAGAGCTGCTGCTGGAAGAGCTGGTGCCAAAAGGTGTTAATTTGGGGCTCCCATGGTTCTCAGGGAGCCCTGCCCAGGATCCCGACTGGATCCCAGCTCCAGCCCAGTGCTGGGAACAGCTCAGGGGCAACACTCTGCTTAAATTAATGGGGTTTGGGATGGAGGGACCTCAAAGCTCATCCCATCCCATCCCAACCTCCTGTCATGGGCAGGGACACCTTCCAAGCCCCGTCCAACCTGGCCTTGGACATTCCCAGGGATGGGGAATCCTCTGGGAAATCCATTCCACTGCCCTCACAGGGAGGAATTTCTTCTCAAAACCCAACCTAAAGCTCCCCTTTTCCAGTATGAAGCCATTCCCCCTTGTCCTGTCACTCCAGGCCTTGTCCAAGTCCCTCTCCAGCTCTCCTGCAGCCCCTTCAGGCCCTGGAAGTGGCTCCAAGGTCTCCCTGGATCCTTCCCTTCTCCATGAATGCTCCCAGCTCTCCACGGCAGAGCCGCTCCACATCTTCCCCTTCTTTCCCTGCAGATTAAACCATTCCAGGAGGAAACTGCTCTGGAATTGCAGGTGAGGCCTCGAGCGTCCTCCCCCCAGACCCCGGAGAGGGCACCTCCCGGCCGGGATGAGGGATGGGGGGATGGAGAGCGGGGCTGAGGCGCGGGAGGATTGATGGTGGCACGGCCTTGACCCCCCGGGAGAGGGGACGGGCCCTCGAGGGCGACTCCGCGTCCGATCCCGGCCCCGGGCGGAGCGGCGGCTCCCGAGGGAGTTATTCCCGGGAACACTCCAATCCTGGGCACGCACCTGCCACCCAGGGCCTGCTTGAAATTCAGCCTGACCTGATTTCCTCCAGCCTTTATTCCCGTGTTTGCTCCTCCCGTTTCTCTCCCCATCCCTGCCAAATCCTTCCAGAGCTGACGCTTGCCAGCACCAGGAGATGTGATGGAAGAGGGAAGCCTGGGATTTCCATGGGAATGTTCCACATGTGCCTCACATCCCTGCACTTCCAGCCCCCAAACCGCCTTTCAGGAGCTCTTCGGCTCTCACACTGAGCAGGACACGGGGATGCTCCGCTCCCCCAAAGCCCTGGTGGTGATCCAAGCTGCCCCTTTCCTCCCACAGCTCCTCCAGCTCCAAGGATTTGGGATTCCAGCCCAGATCTGGGGTTGGTGGCAGCAGGACCGAGCCAGGCACGGCCTCTCTCCCAAATAACACGAGGATTCCGCCTGGATGAGCAGCAGGAACAGACAACCAAGTCCCCCCACTGTCCCAAGGACCCTCAGCCCTGGATTTGGGACAGCCCAGCTCCGACAAAAGCGGCTCCAAAGGCTTTGGATCAGCTCAGAAACATCAAACACAGATAACTATCCCAGGAAGGTTTTTTGACACAGGAAATGGGCAACCACAAGCTCATTCCTCATCCTTTCTCCCAAAGAAACTTGGAAGACAGGGTGGGAAGGCAGAACATCCAGCTCTAGTTCTTTCTTTACACTGTGCCAGCATCTCACCACCCTCACAGGGAGGAATTCCTTCCCCAAATCCCACCTAAATGTCCTGGTTTACAGTGGGAAGCCGCTCCCCATCGTCCTGCCACTCCATGTCTTGTCCCAAGTCCCTCTCCAGCTCTCCTGGAGCCCCTTCAGGCACTGGAAGGGGCTCTAAGGCATCCATGGAACCTTCTCTTCCCATGAACCAGCTCCCAGCCTGTCCCAGAGGTTTTCCCATGGAAAGCCCTCCCGGCTGTCACAGCTGGGAGTTTGTGCTGCTCCAAAGGGGACTGGGGGGAGGAGGAGGAGCAGAAAGTCACATCCATGTGCTAAGAGCACATGGAAAGGAATTCCTGCCCTCCCACGTCAGGGATGAGGCAAATGATGCCTCAGGAACGAGGCCAATTCCAGGAGGCAAAAAGGGCTTTTCATCTCTTCGCACCCCCAAGGCACCTCCGTCATTCCCGTGTTTGCAGAGGCTCTCCCAGTCCCAAATTCCCAGCTCCAGCACGGGCAGGATTGGAGGAGAGTCCCCTGTGACCTGGGAACTGTGGAACTGGGCAAACTGGAGGTCACGGGACCTTCTGGGTGGGTTCTCCCACCAGGCAGGGATGGATTCCCACCTCCAGCCCGAAAACAGGGAGCACACTCTTTGGAAAGAGATTTGGGATGGCTGAGTGAAAATCAGGGAGTCAGAACATCCCCCCAAAACCACTCGGAGCAACATCCCACGGACAAGGGAAGTGAAACCATCGAGTGTCCCGAGAACAGAAGGAGCAGCCGAAGCTGGGAATTAAAAGGAATCGCTGGGAAGGAGGGGATTCCTCCCAGAACTCCAGGAGTTTGGGAAGGAGGGGATTCCTCCCAGAACTCCAGGAGCTTGGGAAGGAGGGGATTCCTCCCAGAACTCCAGGAGTTTGGGAAGGAGGGGATTCCTCCCAGAACTCCAGGAGTTTGGGAAGGAGGGGATTCCTCCCAGAACTCCAGGAGCTTGGGAAGGAGGGATCCCCTGTGCTCCCTCCCCACTTTCCACAGGGGGAATTTTCGGGTTGTTTTCATTTCTCCCCCAGGGAAGGGAAGGTGGGTTTGTTCCCCCAGGCTCGGGAAGGGCTGGAGCAGGAGCAGGCCCTGCCATTCTCCTCCAAATTCCTGCAGCCAACGGGTCCAGGAGCCCCTGAATGGGACATAATGACATCATTGATGGAATCATAATAGAGGGGGAGGGGGGGATGTATTTGTGTTCCAGACAAAAGCCAAGTCCTGTTTCCCAGCGGGGCCCAAGGAAGGACCAGCTGAGTGGGAGAGGGAGGTCAGGGAGGCCGGGAAGGAGTCCTGGCCACTCCCAGAGCTTTCCTGGAGCCCAGGAGTGCCCCGAGCCCTTGTTTGGGAAGTGACACAGGGAGGGAAGGCCTGGAAGGGCTCTGGAGAGAGGGAAGAGCCTGGATGGATCATCCTGAGGGAAAGGGGGATGAGGGGGAGGCCAAAGTGGAGCTGCTGCTGCTCCTCCACCTGTCCCAACGGGGCCTTTCCTACAAGGGCAGAGCCACCTCTGCAAAGTGCCAGAAATCAGAATTTCCCAACAACAAACCCTCCACTGAGGCCAATCCCACCTCTCTGATCCACAGGAACTGGTCTCCTGGAACATCCCACCAATCCTTTTCCCTTTCCTCTGCCAGCATCCCCCCCATCACCACCCTTGGCTTCCTTGGGGGCCAAAAAAAACCAACCCAAAAAACAACACAGAAGCTCCTGGGTATTGGTCCAGGCTTTTGACATGGTTGTTGGTTTGGAAAATGGATTTGGAAGATTTTTGGTTTGGTAATTGGTTTGTTGGTTTGGTCTTGGCAAGGCGTTGTTGGTTTTTTGAATATTGGGGGTTTGGGGGACTGGCTGTGGTTTTTTTGGAAAGGTTTGGAAAAATGGATTGGTTTGGACACTTTGGAAAGGAACGGCCTGCATAGTGCAGGCACCAGTGATTCTTGAAGGCAAGGGGACTTTGCAGGCACATGTCTTATACACCGGGATATTATTGTTTATTCAGATGCACCGGGAAATGGCACAGGGATTATCCAGGAGAAGGATATTCCTCCTCAGGCTGCTGCTCCGAGCTCCTGGAAGCCAAACAATTAAAGGAATTGTTTTCTCTGCCTCATTTGCTGGTTTGGACACACAGAGACTTTCTGCTGCTCCACTGAGCCCTGGTCCCCCCTGGCTGCTCCAGGCCGGGATCTGCTCCACGGAAAACATGTTCTTGTCAACTGGAATTAAAGCAAAATTCAGCTGAAGCCACGAGGGGTAAAAATTAACCTGTCCCAGCACAGGCAGTTGGGACTTTTCCACGGAAGGGACACGCTGGGGTCCAACCAGGGTCATTCCTGAGGCTCCTGGCACTTCCCGTGGCCACAGCCCTGGGATGTGACATGGAAAACTTGCAGCCAGGGAAAGGAAAATCATGGAATTATTGCTCCGGTTGTTTTCCAGCCACGTTTTTCCATTCCCAGCACACTCAGCTCCCTCAAATCCCACCCTGGAGCTGGACACAGACCCCAGCTCCATTCCTGAGCTGGGCACAGATCCCAAATCCATCCCCCAGCTCCATCCCCTGCCCCTCCAGCAGATCCTACAAGGTCCAGAAGTTTGTGCCCATTTCCCCCTGGAAAAACCAACAGCTCCGAGGCCAAATCCATCCCCAACACATCTGTTGTACTTCCAAGGGTTATTTCCCACTGGAACCTTCTCTCCAGAGCTCCAGGTCTGGGCTGACCTGGCTCCTGCCAGGCAGGGACCTGCACGGACACGGTGGGAGCTGAACCCCCTGGATCACCGGGGCTCTTCCCACTTAAAACTGGATGAACAACCTTAAAATTCCAAACCCTTGGGAGCTGTAACTCTTGGAAAACCATGTGGAGTCCCAGCACAAACACAAACAGAGGGGAAGGGGAAGGAAATGGTGTTGACAGGGCTCGGGAACGGGATGTAAAACCTCAGACAGGGATGGTGGGATTGGAGCACTGGGATAATCCCGAGGTGGGAAGAGTGTCCTGGAATGTCCTTACCTTTTTGGAGAGTGAGGAGACATTCAACCCAAACCTCTGAGCCCTTTCCTTTAGTTTATCCATGTTTATCTACAAGAAGCAAGAAACAGTTTCCGTGGCTTGTTTTTTCCATCCCTGTCCCTCGGGTTCCAGGGATAGGGATCAGCCTCATCCTCAAATGGACAATTAAGGGCCTCTGGGAAAACTGCCAGGACTCCTGAAAACCAGCTCTGCTCCCGGGCTGCCCCAGGGCTGGGAAGCTGCACCACCCCCTTCCCAGCCCAGCGGCTTCCCAAGGTTTCCCAGAGATACTGGGCACTGTTATCCCTAAATAAATCACCCCTAAGGAGCCCAGATTTTTAGGACAAACCTTCCCTGGCAGAGCCCTGCACAGAGGAACCACAAGCCCCCCTCCTGCAGGAACTACTTGGATCGTGTTCCCACCCAAAATTCCAGGGGAATGAAGCTTTTCTTACCGTGGGTTTGCTGTCTGCAGAGAGGCCTGAGAGAAGAGGGAAGAGAGAGAATTCCCAGTTAGGGAACAGCACTGGAGTAGGATTTTATCTCCAAGGAGATGAGAATTCCCACCCCATTCTTCCCACTTTCCATCCCCGCTCACTCCCAATTCCATTTTCACCTTCAAAGCAGCTTCTCCACCCTCAAACCCACCCCCATCCCACCTCTCCAGCAGCTCCAGGAGTGGAACGTGGCATTTTAGGAAGCCACAGATGTTTGGAAGGACCAAGAATTGCCAAGGAAAACCCGGCTGTGCCTCCCAGTTGGGCTTGGAGTGAGAGACACTGGGAAAATCCAACCCCCAAGCGACAACCTGTGCCCTTTTCCTCCTGATTCCACAGGATTCCGGCTCCACAATTCCCACCTGGAGCTCCAGGAAAAGGGAAAACAAGGGTTGTCCCACCAGCCTTTCCCCCCCCCAATAAGGAGTAAATATTTGCAGGAAGGTCATTCCAAGGGTCGGTTCTGCTTCCCCTCACCTTTTGTGGGAGCTGTGGCCAAACCAAACCTGTGGAGGGTGAACAAGGGGGAGTCAGTGATGGGAATGTCCAGCCCTGGAGAACTCCCCTTCCAAGGGTTTTCCCTGGTCTGGGGGCAGGATGAGCTGGAACATTCCTAGCTTGTGGAATTCCTGCAGCAGCTCCCACCTTCTCCAAACCCAAATCCCAAACCCTCCAGCAAACCTGTTCTCCCCCTGGTTTTCCAGACCCTTCCAGGGTCATTGTCCCACCCCTGCACACAGAGGTCCCTGGAGAGGCTTCTCCCAGGGAAGAATCATGGAATGGGTTGGGTTGGGAGCTTAAAGTCCATCCAGTTCTGCCTCCCACTATCCCAGGTCGCTCCCAGGGATGGGAAATCCATTCCAGGGCCTCCTCACGCTCCCAGGGAGGAATGTGCTCCCAAATCCCACCAGGGAGCTGCCCCGGGCACTCTCACACTCCCACCCCGGGCACACTCACACTCCTCACCCAGGCACACTCACACTCCTTATCCAGGGTACTCTCACACTCCTCATCCAGGGCACACTCACACTCCTCACCCCGGGCACTCTCACACTCCTCATCCAGGGCACACTCACACTCCTCACCCCAGGCACACTCACACTCCTCATCCAGGGCACACTCACACTCCTCACCCAGGGTACACCCTCACTCCCCCCAGTCCCCCCTCACTCCCCCAGTCCCCCCTCACTCCCCCCAGCCTCCCCCAGCCCCCCTCACTCCCCCAGCCCCCCTCACGCCCCCCAGCCCCCCTCACGCTCCCCAGCCCCCCGCACTCCCCCAGCCTCCCCAGCCCCCCTCACTCCCCCCCAGCCAGCCACCCCCCCAGCACCCCTCACGCCCCCCAGCCCCCTCACTCCCCCAGCCTCCCCCAGCCCCCCTCACTCCCCCCAGCCCCCCCCAGCCCCCTCACCGCGCCGCCCGAGCCGCCTTCTTGCTCTCGAGGCTGACGGGGACGTTGAAACGCTCGGCCCGTTTCTGCATCCGCTGGGGAAGGGACAGGGACAGGGCAGGTTGGGAGGGGGCAGGGAGGGCTGGCAGGTGGGGGAGTGCAGTGGCAGATCCCAACAGCCACGGGAAGGGAAAACTCCCCCCCCGGACCCGAGGGAGAAGGAGCCGCTGGCACCTCGTGCGACCGACGGGCTCCGGACACCCCCGAGCCCAAACTCCAGGAAAACCCATCACTCAGGGAGGAAACGGGAGCGGGGAGCAGAGACAGGTGAGAATTTTGGGATGGCATCCCAAGGAATTCCTGAGCCAGGGAAGGGGCTCCTGGCTGGGAACAGCCGACATCCCTCCTGGAGGCACCACCAGCTCCAGGGGCCAACACCTCCCTCCCTTCCCCCCGAGCAAAAATCCAAGGAAATGTGCTCAAAAAACAAAATGATGGAGGTGTTTTTTCCAGAGAATTTGTCTCTTTGGAACAAGCCCCTTCCTGGGAGCCAAGCCCCATCCATGAGCACTTTGCCACCAGTAAGAGAAATTCCAGGTGAATTCCAGCTACAACTTGGCCACTCTCTGGCTCAGAGCAGAGGGAAAACCCTGGAATCATCAGGAATGCAAAGCTTTGCACTTCCAAGGACTCAAATCCCCCCAAAAGCCCCAGGGAAATGATTAATATCTGATTCTTACGCTGCGTGGGGTGTTTTGGAGGTTACAAAAACAGGGAATATTTAATGGAAACACTGAGCGGAGCCAAGGGCACAGCGAGGAGCATCATAAACATCTGCTCCAAAACATAAATGTTTGGAAAAGCTGGACTGGGAGCAGCACTTGGGCCCCTCCCGGGACTGAGGAGCTGGAACTCAGCAGAGGAGGGAAAACAGAGGTGGAAAAAGGCACCACTCGGGTCAAACCTTGTTTCCTTATCCCTTTATACATCCTGAAGGATACCTGAGGAATTCTTCCCTGATATTCCACCCAACCTTCCCCTCTGGCAGTGGGAAGCCCCTCACGCCCTCCCAGATCCACAGCAAATGACAGAATTCCAGGCTGTGCTCCCACTTCCAGTTATTTACCCCAGGGATCTGTCTCCCTTGCTCACCTGTATTTCTGGAAATATATATATTTACACCTCTAAATAACTCCCTTTTCTCTCAAAACCCACCCCAGCAGCACTTTGCTGAGACCCGCCAACCTCACACTAAACAACCACTGAAGAAAGAGGGGATTTTCTGGGGAAAATCTTGCAGAATTTGGGGAAAAACAAAGAGCAGGAGGACGAGTTGCAGCAGTTCCCTCCAGGATCTGCCCCAGCCCCCCCGGCCCCTGTTCCTGCCTCTCCAAGGTCACAATCCCCCTCCTGCGCCATCGCTGCCGTTGCTGTGGAAATCAGCGTGTCCCAAACAGCAGATTAAACCCTGGAGTCGCTGCAAACAGCAGGAACCGTGTTTTCATAGGGATTTCTGCCTCAGGAGCCAACGAAATTAAGGGGGGATTAGAGAAGCACAAGCAGATTCCTGAAACTCGGAGCTTTCCCAGAGGAATCGGCGGCACCCGAGGGTTTTCAGGGAGCACAAACACAGGGAGAGGGGGGCAAAGGACATCAGGGAATCACAGAATGGCTCAAGAGGGACAGGAAAGCTCATCCCATCCACCCCCTGCCACGGGCAGGGACACCTCCCACCATCCCAGGGGGCTCCAACCCGGCCTGGGACACTCCAGGAACGGGAAATGCAAAACCAACCCACAAAACTAAAGCAGCTTTCCCATGGAAACACTGATCCTGCCTCAGCAGCCCCCCGAAGGAAGGGGGAAGGGGAATCCCCTCTGGGAGGATGCAGCAGCAGGAATCTCACCTCCATCTGGGATATCTCAGATGTGATCTTCACCACCTTCTTCTCCGTGATCCTGGGGGTGTTGGGAAAGAGAGAAACCAGTGAGAGCAGCTCCTGTGGATTCCAGAGACATGTCCTGGTGGGAAAGGGGCCAGGAATCTCCTCCTGGCCACACATTCCCAACACAACCAAGGGTCTGTGTGGAAATGGGAACCACGAGCCAGGTTTGTGGATCTTCCTCAAATTTGGGGCCCAACATTGATGCCAAAGGGAAGGATGAGGCCTGGGAAACTTCTAACCAAAATTTTGGGAGCATCTGGGGCACGAAACATCCCCCAGCAAAGGAGCTGCAGCATCCCTGAATTCCCTTGGGAATGAGGTGGGATCCCAGCAGGAGCAGCCACACTCTCATTCCCTGCAGGACTGGGGGGATCATGAACTGCTGAAGGCAGGACAAACCACTCCCTGGGGACCCCAAAACCAGAGGGATTGGCACTGGAACTGGAAAAAGGATGGATTGGGCACTGGAACTCCAGGAATAACCCCTGGCCCAGCTCGAGGCTCCTCCAGGTCCTGTGGGAAGCCCAAAGCCTCGAATCCCTGGGGAGTTTTATTCCTTTATGGCCCTGGAACACAAAGGGTTGTTGTGTTCTAGTTCATGGGGCAGCCCCGGGCACATTCCCTGCTCCCTGGGCACATTCCCTGCTCCCTGGGCCATTCCCAACCATCCCCCCCCTTTCAAATATAACAGAAGGGGTGGAAGGGGTGGATTGGAAGGGGAGGATTCCGGGACTTGTGCTCCCAAAACACAGCTGGGCCTTGAGGGGGGAAACAAAGGAGGAAGAGCCAAAGTTGGGAAGGTCCCAGGAGGGAAGGAGCAGCTCCTCCTCCCCCAAACAGCTCCCATAAAACAGTGGGAACGCCAGGCTCGTTAAGGAAAATGAGCGGCCTTTGTTCCCAATCCCGGCACAGGTTCCCCATTTTATGCCCTGAAAGGTCCTAATGGCTTAATGGCACTTCCCCAGGAAGCAATTCTGCCCCGGAGCCGGGCTGGGAACGCGCCGGGATGGGACGGGAGCAGGGCTGGGATGGAGCTGGAACGGCCCCAGGACGCCCCCTCCTGCCCAGGAGATCCCGAGGAGCCTCCCAGGGATTCCGGGCTGGGAAAGAGCCGAAAGCTCCTCTCATTCCTCTCATTCCGTGGGCAGAGGCACTTCCCACCTGCCCTGGCGGCTCCAAGTCCTGACCAACCCGGCCAGGGACAATTCCAGGGATGGGGCAGCCACAGCTTCTCTGGGAAATCCGTTCCAGGGCCTCCTCACCCTCACAGGGAGGAATTTCGTCCCAATATCCCACTCAATTCTCCCCTTTCCCAGTGGGAAGCCATTCCCCCTTCTCCTGGCTCTCCATTGAAACGTGAGGCACCTCAAACCCAAGGATCAAGACTTGAGGAATCTCTCAACCCTAAGGAATCTACACCCAAAGGATCAAAACCCACGGAATGTTAACCGAAGGAATCTCCCACCCCCAGGAATCTCCAACCCAAACCCCCCCGTTTCCCACCCCCAGGAGACCCCCCCGGGATCCCCAATCCTGCTCCAACACGTGGGATCTGCTCCCTCCTTCCATCCTGCAGCCCCCGGGGTCGGGTGAAGCCCGTGGTCCCTCGTGCTCCCAGATTTCCCAGGCGGATCCCAATCCCAATATTTACACGTCGGGGGATTTCACCGGAGCCTCTTCCACCTTCACGGGCGGCTCCGCCGGCTTCGGCTCTTCCTCCTGGGAACCAACGTGGAGACTCCGTAAGAAACCTCCCAGCCACCTTTCCTGGCTGATTCCCAAGGCACAAACATGCCCAGGAATTCCCGTGTTCCGTGTCCCAGGAGGGGTTGGAAACTCTCCCTGTGCTTTTCCAAAGCCCCATAATCCCTTCCCAGAAGGTCTGGGAAGGGGTTGGGAATGACCTGAGGGTGACATTCCCAGCCCAGAATGGAGTGGGAATGGCCAGGAGAGTGGGAATGACCAGGAGGGGCTCCAGCAGCACCTGTTCTCCTTCTCACCAACTATTTCATGGGGAAAGAGGGAAAAATCCTCCTGTCAGGAGCCTGACAGTGGGAAGAGTCACTTCCTGAGGGTGTTTTAGCACAAAGTGCTTTTCCAGGATGGGTTTCCTGGCCCTGGCAGGAACAGGGCTCAATCCCATGGGATCCACGGGCACCAACTGGGAGACTTTTCCTTAAATATCCTTAAACCTCCCAGGTGTGAATCCTGCTGGACATGGAGGGGGCGACCCCACCCTGAGGGATCCCAAAATCTGGGATCACACCAGTGACAGGATCCCCCATCCCACCCTCTGGACAATCCCAGTTGTCTCTCAGCACCAAAACTGGCTGGTTTAGGACCAAAGTGGACAACAAAAGTGGTTTAAACTCCACACAGCCCCGGGTGTTGCCCTGTTCCTGCAAACCAGGATCCCCCCGGGGATCATCCCAAAAAACAACCCACCTCTATCTCCTCTGCCAGCACATCCTCCTCGTTGGCTTCTTCTTCAGCTGGAGGACAAAACAACGCAGCCATTGGAGCAGCAAAACACCCCAGGGAACCTCTGGATTCCCAGAGAACACAGGAATCCAGGCGGGAATTCCGAGGGATTCGGGAAGGGCCCCCAGCACCCACCGTGCTCCTCCAGGTAGGCCTGGAGCCGGTTGATGAGGTCCTGCTTGTTGCCTTTGGCCTCCAGCCCCCTGGCCAGGCATTCCTGCTTCAGCTCTGCCAGCTGCGGTGGGAAAAGCTTCCGTGAGTCGGGAAATACAGGGATTAAATACAGGGATCAAAGCGGAGTTGAGGGATGGAAAGGAACGTTCCAGGGGAACCCTCCCAGGGAATCTCTTTGGGATCGTCCTGGGGGAACCAACCAAGGGAACCCCCCTGGGCCCCTCCTGGAGGGACCTCCCAGGAGAATCAACTGGGGGAACCTCTTGGGGACCCTCCTGAGGAACCCACTGGGGGAACCTCCCCAGGACCCCCTTGGGGAACCAGCTGGAGAACCCTTCCCAGGGACCGTCCCCGGTACCCCCATCCCCGGTACTCCCCCCTGGGGTCTCTTCCACGCGGCTGTACTCCCACGCGAGGCCTCGGGGAGCCCCGACCTCAGGGGTTCCGGCCTGCGCTGGGGTCCAATCCCCGAGGGAGCGGGTGTGGCCGCCCTCCATGGCGGCGGGCGCTCAAACCGGTCCCCGCCCTCAAACCGCCCCGCTCGCGGGTCCCCGCGGCACCTTCAGTTTGTGCAGCTCCACCGGCTCCGCCGCCATCTTGTCACCGCCGCGCCGGCCCCGCCCCCGCCGCCGGCCGGCCAATCAGCGCCGAGCGCGCCCGATGGACCAGGCAAAAGCGCAGCCCGCCATTGGCCAATTCTGCCCGGCACCGCCCTCGTGGTATTGGTCGGCGGAGTTGAGTGACGTGGAGACGGACCAATGGGAGCGCGGCAGTGCGAGGAGCTGGGTATTATTAATTATTCGTTATGAATTTATTTGCTAATTCTGAGTTTATTTATTAACTAAACCCCCCGGCCGCGAGGTCATTGGCCATCAACATCCCAGGCCCTCACACTCCCTCCCTTCCCCCAGGCGCCGTATCTGCCAGTCCAGCACCTAAAATGACACTTAAATTGGCCCCTGGGTTATTCGGGGTCGTGTGAGCCCCCAAAACAGCCCCGGCTCCCGGGGGCTGACTGAGCCCCCAAAACAGCCCCCAACTCTGCTTTGCTTCCCCCCCAACCTGCAGCTCCTTTGGCCACATCCCCACCCCACCCCCCCTTTTTAAAACAATTCTCCCATGTTAAAAAACACTCACTTTCTTTTCTAAAAAAAAAAAAAAAAGAAAAATAGATTTTTTATTCAAAGAAGCCCTTTGGGGGGGCCTGGGGCCCCTCAGCGCGGGAGCGGCCGCCGCACCTTCTTCCTCCTCTTGTGCTTCGTGTCCCCCCTGGGGGCAACCCCCTCTGGCCTGGGGGGACCCCCGGGCGGGGCCGCGGCCCCTGGGGGGGTGGGGGGCGGCGGGAAGGGCCCCCCAGGGGCCGCCGGGGCCTGAAAGATGCGGGTGAGGAAATCCTGGAGCTCCGAGGGGGTGGGGGGGCTGCCCTTGGGGGTGGTCCTGGAGGGGGAACAGAGGGGGTTGGGGGGGCCTGGGGATCCCTGTGCACGTCAAACCACCTGAGAGAGAGGGTGTGACGGCACCACGAGACCCCCGGGGCATTGTGTCACCCCCCAAGCCCCCCGGGGACACGGTGTCACCCCCAGGTGCCCCCCCAGCACTGACCGCTGCCTCCCGGGTGGGGGGGCCGCCCTGGCGCCGAAGGACAGGTGGTAGGGGACACGGTGGGTGTCCGGGGAGATGCCCACACGCTGGCACCCAGCCCACTCTGGGGGGACAGAGACAGAGACCACCCGTCAGGGGGCACCTGGGGGGGCCACGGAGGGTGGGACCCCTGGGGCTGGGAAACCCGCTGGGTCTGGGGGCTGCAGAACCCTCCAAGTCTGGGGGCTCTGTCAGCCCCCAGTCTGGGGCCAGGGGCAGCCCCCCGTGGGTGTGGGGTCCCCCCGTGGGTGTGGGGTGCCCGTCCCCCCAGGGGTGCCCGTCCCCACCGGTGATGTCGTAGACCCGGCCGTCCATGCGGGCCATGTAGGTGATCCTGAGCCCCAGCAGGTGGGACTCTGCCCACAGGTCCCCCTCCTCGGCCGGGTGCAGCCCCCCGCACTCAGCGCAGTACCGGGCACGCTGGGGGTCCCTGTCCAGCTCGAACCGCCTGCGGGGGGGGATGGCACCGTGAGCCCCCCGGGGCACCACGGCACCCTGAGACCTGGTGCTGGCCCTGTTCCCCCACCCCCCTGAGCCCCCCAGGACACAACACCCCCGGTGCTGCCCCCGAGCCCCCCCGGCCCCTGAAGGCCCACCTGTGGCGGCCCCCGCAGCGGCTGCAGGCCATGGCGTTCATGGCCTCCCTCAGGTCCTCCTGCAGCCGGCTCAGGAAGGCTCCCACCGACCGGGCCAGCTCGCTCTGGGCCAGCCTCTTCCTGCGGGGAACGCGGGGGGTCAGAGCCCTCCGCGGGGGTCCCAGAGCCCCCCCAGGGACCCCGACTCACGTCTCGTAGTCCCGGCGCCGCTCGGGGCTGCTCACCCGGTCCCAGCCCGCCCGCAGCACCTTGAAGGCCTCCTCTGCCCGCGGGTGGGGGCTCTTGTCGGGGTGCACCTGGGCAGGGAACGACCCTCAGGGGCCTGCCGGGGTGGGGGTCCCCGGGCCCCCCCAGCTCACACCCACCAGCACGGCCAGGCGCCGATAGGCCTTTCTGAGCTCGGCGTCGGCCGCCGAGGGCTCCACCCCCAGCACCTGGAAGGGGTTCAGCTCCTCCTCGGGCACCTCGGCCAGGGCCAGCAGCCGCCCCAGCTCCTCCTCCCCCGCCGCGGGGACCCCCGGGGGGCTCCTCCGGCCCCGCAGCCACTGCCGGGGGTCCCCCAGGAGCTCCCGGGCCCGGTGGGCTCCGGCGGCGAGGCCGCGCCAGCAGAGCCGGAGCCCCCCGAGGAGGAGGAGAAGGAGGAGGAGCAGCAGCGCCAGGAGCGCCCCGAGCAGCCTCAGGCACAGCCCGGCCCCCGCCCGGGCCGCCCGCAGCGACCCCCGGCCCCAGCCCCGCAGCCCCCCGCCCTCCTCCTCCTCTTCGTCCTCCTCGTTCTCCCGGAGGGCCCCGCGGTGCCTCGGCCGCCTCCGGGCCCTCCGCGCCCTCCCGTCGCCGTCGGGGGGTCCCCGGTGGCGGCAGCCGAGCCCGCAGGCCCCGGCCCGGGGCTCCCCCGCGGGGGTCGGGGCGGGGGCCGGGGGTCCTCGGCAGCCGCAGCGGGTCCCGGGGTCGCCGCCGCCCCCTCCGTCCTCCTCGTCGTCCCCCGGGCCGGGGGCGGTCCCGGCGCGGCCGCAGGTCCCGTTCCAGGCGGCGCTGGGGGGGCCGGAGCCTCCTTCGGCCGCGTCCTGGGGCCGGGGCTGCTCCATCCCGGGGTTAAGTCACGGCCATCCCGGTCCTGCCGGGGCTGGGGGGAGAGAGAGGGGTCAGCGAGGGGCAGAGACCCCCGAAATGGGCCCGGGACCCCCCGAATAGCCCCCGGGGACCCCCCGCAGGACCCCAGAGACCCCGACCCATCCCAGGATCCCTCGGATGGGCCCCGAGAAGCTCCGGAAAGGGCTCCGAGGAACCCCCCGAACGGCCCTGGGACTCCCAGTTGGGCCTGTAAGGAACCCGCAAACGGACCGGGGGGGGAGTTTGGGGGGTCCCGGACTCACCGCGCCGGTACCGGCGGTGGGGGGAAGGTTTAGGGCTGTATTTGGGGGATTTTGGGCTCACCGCGCCGGTACCGGCGGTGGGGGGGGGTCGCCGCCGCCGCCCCCCCCCGGGTCCCCTCACGGCCGCACTTCCGCTTTCCGCCCGCCGCCGCGCCGGCCACGCCCACTTCCGGGGGAGGGGCCTCACGTGAGAGCTTCGTCCCGCCTACCCCTCAAATGGCGATGGCCACGCCCCCAAAGAGGTGCGGCCAACCATTAACAGGGTGACCACGCCCCTTCGGCGGGTATAGACGCGCCCCTTAGTTGGGTGTGGTCGCACCCCTTAAACGGACATCTCCACGCCCCGTACCTATGGCCCCGCCCCTTAAAGGGGCATCTTCGATCTTAAAAGGGCAATGCTACCCGGTATCCGCGGGGGGCTGCGCGCCTCCCGCACCGCCGCCCCCGCGGGGCCCCCCCGTGCGACCCCCTCCCCTTGTCTTCCCCGGGATTGACCCCACGCGGGATCGGGTCCTTTCCCTACGCTCACCCCCCGACTGCCGCCCCCGCCCCCGCCAGACCCCGCGCGGGACCCCGCGACGGTCCCTCACCGCCCCCGGTCCCGCCCCTGCCTCATCTCGGCCCCGCCGCGACCCCCGCGACGGCAGCGACGGTGAGTCCCGGGCGGGGGGACCGAGCGGAGATGGGACCCCCGAGTGGGGACCCCCTCCCGGGAGTCGGTGGAACCACTGGGAGCGCTGGGAGAGCTCTCGGATGGGGCTGGAGGGGCGGGGGGAGCGAGTGGGGATGGGAACCCGGCCGGGGACTTCCCTGGGTACCCCCCGCCCCTCCAGCCCCGTCCCACAGCGCTCCCAGTGCCCCCTCCCAGTGCCCCAGCGCTCCCACCGCTCCCAGTGCCCCCTCCCAGCACTCCCGGTACTCCCACGGACCCCTCCCGTCGCTCCCAGTTCCCCCAGTTTGCCATTCTCCAACACCCACTCCCAGTGCCCCCATCGCCCCCAGTTCCCCCTCCCAACGCCCCCAGCCCAGTCCCTTCCAGATGTGCCGCCCCCCCCGCGGCGCCGCTGCCAGATGTGGGTGCGGGGAGGGGGACACGAAGCGGGGGGGAGGAGGGGGTCGCGGGGAGGGGTCGCTCACCCCCCCGCCCCCGCAGAGCCCGGGGGGCGATGGATCCCGGCGCCCCCCCCGCGGAGCCCCGCTGTGCCCTCGGGCCCCGGGGACCCCTCGAGCCCGTCCCGGCCGCGCTCTGCGCCCTCGGGGCGCTCCTGGGCCTCGGCTGCGGCTGCTTCGGTGAGGGGGGCACGGGGGGACCCCCGGGGGCACGGCTGGGGGGCTGAGGGTCTCTTGGGGCGGGGACTGAGGGAACCCCGAGGGGGGCACGGCTGGGGGGCTGGGGGGACCCCGGGACACTGTCAGGGGGCTGGGGGGTCCTGAGGGCACACCGCGGGGGACCCCGAGGGGGGCAGGGCTGGGGGCATGGTGGGGGGGCTGGGGAGCACGGGCGGACCCCCGAGAGGGGCCCCAGGCACCCTGAGGGCATGGCTGAGGGGGTTGGGGGGGGGCCTTGGGGAGGCAGGGGGCACATCTGGGGGGCAGAAGAGATGGCACAGGGACCACTGGGGGACAACTGGCGGTCCTGGGCAGAGGGGGTGGCACAGGGGACACCGGGGGGCACAAGGTTTCTGTGGGGCACCGGGGACCCCCAGGGACTGCCCAGTGCCCACCAGCACCGCCCCCACTGACCCCCCCGCGCCCCCCAAGGCTACCGCTGCTTCAGGGCCGTCATGTTCCTCTCGGGGCTGTTCTTCGGCTCCGCCGTCATCTTCCTCCTGTGCCACCGGGAGCGCGTCCTGGGGTCCCCCCTGAGCCTGGAGGCGAGCGCGGGCATCGCGCTGGGCATCGGGCTGCTCTGCGGGCTCCTCACGGCGCTGCTGCGCAGCGTGGGGCTCTTCACCACGGGGCTGCTGCTGGGGCTGCTCGTGGCCGCGGCCGCGCTGGCCGCGCTGGCCCCGGCGGAGCCCCCGGGCAGCCCCTGGGTGGGCGCGGGGGTGGCGCTGGGGCTGGCGCTGCTCGGGGCTCTCTCCGCGCTGCGCTGGCCCCGCGCCCTCACCGTGCTGGGCACGGGCGTGGGGGGCGCGGCCGCCCTGGTGGTCTGCGCGGATTATTTCGCCGAGGGGGCGGCGCTGGTGGGGTTCGCGCTGGCCCGGCTGCGGGGGGCGCCGGGGGGGCCGCTCTGCTGGCCCGGGTGGGCGCTGCTCGGAGCGTGGCCCGCGCTCAGTGTCACCGCCGTGCTGCTGCAGTGGAAGGTGACGGCCCGAGGGGCACCGAGGGGACACGGTGAGGGACCCCCGGGGCGAGGGAGGGGACGGGGAAAGGGCGGGATGGGAAAGGGACGGGGCTGTGGGTGCTGGTGGGGATGAAGGTGAGGATAAGGGCGGGGTGGCGATGGGGACAGGGAGGAGGGAAAGGGTGGGACTGGGAAAGGATTGGGATGAGGCTCCGGATGCTGGTGGCGGTGGGAAGGATGAAGGTGAGGGTGAGGAGGGTGGGAGGGGGTGGTAAATGGGGGGGTGTCCCCGGGTCGGGGGTGTCCCCGGGTCAGGGTCAGGGGGTGTCCCGGGGTCGGGGGCACAGGGCTCAGGACTCGCCCCCTCCCCACAGTCCTCAGCCGGCGGCAGAAGCGCCTCCGGCACAAGGAGCCCAAAGCCCCCCCCGGGGGTCCCCCTGGCCGCCAGCCCCCCCCAGCCCAGCGCTGCACGGACCCCCCGAGCCCCGGGGACCCCCGAGACCCCCCGAGCAGCACCTGGAGCCTGCGGGACCGGCAGCCGGACAGCGGGACCCCGCCGGGACCCCCCGACATCGCCACCCCGCCCCGACACCGAGCCCCTCCGACGTGCCTTGGGGACCCCCCCAGCAGCGGTGCCTGCGCCTTTAAATAAACAAATGAGGTTCCTCGTGCCTCGCCCACCGGAGGGCGTGGCCTGCGGGGACGGGGCTTCAGGGCACAGGGGTGGGTGGGACCCCCGAGGGCTGGGGGGGGATGTCCCTGGTTGGGGGGGGAGAGCCCTGTGCACCCACCCCACCCCTCCAGCCCCCGGGGACCCCCTTGAAAACAAAGCCCCACATTTATTTTTGTAGGACCTACCCAAATACTGTGAACCCACCGTGGTCTCAGCCCCCTCTCCTTCCATTGGAGGGGAGAAGGGGGTCCTAAAAGCCTTAACCTCCACCTTGGGTGGGGGCCTCACCCAGCCCTGGGGCCCCCCAGACCCCCCAGCCCTGCCTGACCCCCAAAGGACCACACAGCCCCCACCCTGGGGAGGGTCCAGCCGCCCCCCGAGCCCCCCCATCCCCTCCCGGGGGGCCCAGGGCCGGGTCTCATCCCCCCGGACAGGCCCGACCCCCCCACGCCGGGTCAGTGCTGCAGTTTTTATTCTTCCACAATTTTTAAAAATAAAGGGAAAAAAGAGAGAAAAAGAGAAATAAACGGGGGGGGAGGGGCCGTGACACAGAATGGGGGGGTGGGAAGAGCGGGGGGGGCGCGGGGGGGGGCACGGCCCCCTCCCACATAAACCCACATCGATCCAATTAAAAACCAGGAGCCGCCGGGTCCTCGCCGGGAACAACCGTCCTGTCCTGCCCTGCCCTCCCCCCTCCCCAACCCCCCCAGAGACCCCCCAACCCCCCCTACGAGTCCGACTCGAGCCCCCTGAGTTCGTCCTCCAGCGCTTTCCTCCGGCCCAGCTTCTCCAGCTGCTCCTGGGTGGGCTGGGGGAGCCCCCCGGCCTCGAGGCGCCGCTGCAGCTCCTCCACCTGCCGCAGCTTCTTCCGCAGGCTCTTGATGCGGCGGCTGCGCTCGGAATTCCCGGCGCCGTCGCCCCCCTGGGCCGGGGGGGCCCCTCCTGTCCCGCCGGGCCCCGCCAGCGACAGCTTTTCCAGCGCCGGGCTCAGTCCGTCCGTGTCCTGCGGCCGCTCCGGGGCCTTTTCCTGCTGCTGCCGCCGCTTCTCCTTGCGCTTGAGGTTCCTGCGGGCGGCCTTGGACAGCCCCTGCTCGGGGGGGGGGCCCTGGGGGGGCCCCGGGGGCCGCGCCGGGGCCGTGTCCGGGCTCAGCCCCGGCGGCAGCTCCGGTTTGCTCCGGAAAAACTTCACGTACTTGTTCTCGTACCTGCGGGCAGAGGGACGGGGTGAGGGGGGGTGGGGGGCGTGGGGGGGGCCAGGAGGGATCCGGGAGGGACCCCTGGGGGAACGTTCTGTGAGTGGCCCAGGAGGGGTCTGGGGGGGATCCCGGGGGGATTATGAGGGTCTGTGAGGGTCCATGAGGGGCTGTGGGGGGACACAAGGGGCTGTGGGGAATCCGGGAGGGGCCCAGGAGGGATCTGGGAGAGATTCCTGGGGGTCCAGGAGGAGCTGTGGGGGATTCCTGAGAGACCTGTGAGGGTCCATAAGGGATCAATGAGGGATCTGTGAGGGGCCGTGGGGCTCCAGGAGGGTCTGTGAGGGGATGGGGGATCCAGGAGGGGTCCATGAGGATCTGGGGGAGGTCCATGAGGATCTGGGGGGGGGTCCATGAGGATCTGGGAGGGCATATGCAGCCCCTGGGGTGGGACTCACCCACATGTGAAGCCCTGGGTGGGACCCAGCGGGGCACAAACTCAGCCCTGGGAGGGGGCACACGGCCCCAAGATCTCCCCCCAGCCCGGGGACCCTCCCACTCACACGGGCACCTCCTCCTGGGGGACGTATCCCTCCTTCACCCGCCGCTGCTTCCGCCACGTCCCATCCGGCCGCTGCGTGGAGGGGATGTACCTCCCTGGGGGGCACAGGGGGGCATGGGGGCACCTCGGATCCCAGGGGCATCCAGGAACACCCACAGTAGCCTCAGGACACCCCCACGGGGACCCCAGGACACCTCCAGGGAGGTCCTGCGACCCTCCACAGACCCCATGGCAGTCCCAGGAGACCCCACAGAGGCTTTGGGACACCCCCGCACAGACCCCAAAGGAGGCTGGGCCACCCCTAAGGGGGTCTGGGACACCCCACTGAACGCAGGGGAGGCCCAGGACACCCCCTCCAGAGAGCTCAAGACCCCCCCTAGCTCCCGGGACACCCCCGGGACCCCAAGGGGACCCCAGAGACCCCCAGCCCCCCCGCAATGGGCTCCAGGACTCCCCCCCCCACATGTCCCGGGAAATCCCCAAAGTGGCTCTGGGACCCCCCCACGGACCCCACAAGATCCCCAAAACCGCGTCCCGCAGCCCTCTGCCCCCCCCACATGTCCCCAGAACCCCCCCCGGCGTTCCCAGGACCCCCCCCAGGCCCCGCGCCCCCCACGGGCCTCCCCCGGCGCCGGGGCCCCCGCGGGGATCGGCGGCGGGCGCAGCCCCGGCGCCGGGGGGGGTCCCGGGCGGGGCCGTGCCCGGGGCGGTTCCGGGGGGGTCCCGGAGCCTCCCCCGCCCCCGCGGCCCCCCCGCGCTCACCGGTCTCGTCCGTCACATAGGGCGTCGCCATCTTTGCGCGCGCGTCTCGGCCCCGCCCCGGAAGTGACGCCACGGGCGAGACAGCGGCAGCTAAGGGGGCGTGGTCATGGGGAAGGGGGCGTGTTCAATGACCATACATGGACGTCATTGGGCGTGGTCACACAGGGGGCGTGGCCACCGCGAGCCTGGAAATATAGGGGGCGTGGTCCGTGAAGGGGCGCGGTCTGTCGGTCGCGGGGCGTGGTCACTTTAAGGGGCGCGGCTCCCGTGGCGTTCAATGAGGGGGCGTGGCGTTTGGGAGACGGGGCGTGGTTAAAAGAGGGCGTGGCCTCAGAGACGCCATGTTGCTTTTAAAGGGGCCGCGCCCCTCCTGGTGCCCCACTTCCCCCCCCACTCTGGGAGTGGAGCCCCCCCCCCCAGGATATGAGAGACCCCCCCCCCCCCCTCTATGGGGACCCCCGAGTTGGGGAACACCCCGGACACCACTGGGGTGGAGAGACACCTCCCTTCCCTCCACAGCCGGGAATTCCCGGGATGGAGACCCCCGGGATAGACCCCCCCCATCACCGGCCCCCCCCCGGGATGGAGACACGCACTCACATGAGAATTCCCAGGATTGGGACCCCCGGGATGGGGAACATCCCCCTACCCGTCACCCCAGGGACCCCGGGATGGAGCCTCTTCCCCCCGGGAATTCCTGGGATGGAGACCCCCAGCACCGAGCCCCCCCCCCCCGACAGCCGCGGGATGAAGATGTGCCACCCCCCCGGAACGCCCAGGATTGGGACCCCCGGGATGAGACCCCTCCCCCCCCCCCTCGGGCATCCCCCCGGATGGGCATTCCCGGCGTGGGGTCCCCCCCACGGCCTCCCCCGGCTTGGGACCCCCGGCCCCTCTTTTGGGGGTCCCCGGGACGGCCCCGCCCCGGCGGCACGTGCTCGGTGTCCCCCCCTCACCCCCCCAACGGTCCGTGACGTCACGGGCGGGGCCGGACCGGGAGAGCCCGGACCAGGTACGGACCGAGCGGGGAGCCCCGGGGGGTCGGACCGGGGGTCCCGGGGCGTTCCCGGGCTGAGCCGGGGCGGGGCGGGGCCGTGCTGGTCTGTACCGGGCTGTTTCGGGCACCACCGGGATGGACCGGGGCGGTACCGGGCGGAACCGGCGCGTTACCGCCGGACCGGACACAGACGGGGCACTGCCGGGCTCCACCGGGCGGTACTGGGGCGGTACCGGGCCGAAACGCGCCGTCCTGGGGCTGTTCCAGGCACTACCGGGGCTCTACCGGGCGATACCCGCGTGGTACCGGCCACTACCGGGATGCACCGGGGCCGTCCCGGGCGCTAACGGGGCAGTACCGCGTTCTACCGGGTGGTACCGGGGGAGTCCCGGGCCGTCCCGGTCTGTACTGGGGCCGTTCCGGGCGGTGCCGAGGCCATACTGGGCGGTACCGGGGACCTCCTGTCCCCGGGAGACGCCCGGGCCGGGCCGGGGTCCGTTCCCTGCTCCCTCCGGTGCCCCCGGGGGTTGGGCGGGTCCCGGTCCCGCCGGGCACCGCCCGCGGGGGTCAAAGCTCGGCTGGGGCCGCACACGCGTGTTCAGGCGTGTTCGGGCGTGTTCGAGGGGTGCTCACGTGTGTCAGGGCGAGGCCGTGCACGGGCAGGGGCTGCAGGTCACCCCCGGGGACCCCCCTTTTCCACCCCCATCACGGACCTGCGTGTGATCCTGTG